TCTTCGGGTTCTTGGGGGATGTTGCTAACTCCAGGTCCGATAACAGGCACCACACCCGCAGTAGATGTGCACGGTGTGAGGTCTCGCAGCAAGCTATCAAATACGGCGCATTTTAAAAAACGCTATGCGTCGCCAGGTGTTTCATCAGATTCGAGGTGTTACCTCCTTTGACAGTATCACAGTATCAGCTTAAAGCACTTGTTGCTGCTGAGTTTGCATCTTTTGCTGTGAAGTACAGCCAGACTTTTGACCGCTTGGCTTTGGGCATTTTTAATCTGTAGCTCTGCTCTAAAAGAACGTACGTACCTGGGCCCGCCTACTGTCCTTGGAAACGTAAAATGATTGGCTAGAATCTAAAGTGTATCACAGCTCATGGAAAAAAAGCACCGAAATAAAGCACCGAAATGTGCGCTGCTTTTCGGTCTGGTTACTACCGTTTATGTCAGAACCGTACCGGTACCCATCCTTATAGTTGAGTCGCTTTGAGTTATGCTAATTCAAAGAAACTCATAGAGATTGATCATGTTTGCCACCTGTCTGCCTTCTGTACAGAGCAGCTGTTTCATTTACCATTTAAATATGATCAACCTATCTCTAGTAACTGGCTATATACAACAGGCCCTTGAAGCTGGCGTAGTTTAGTGTACATGTATAAATGTGTACGTATACGTGGATGGTATATCTTAAGCTTCTCGTACTCCATCTTTCTGATGTTGCTACCACTTGGTATAACTGTATCTGTCACTGTGGTAGATCCCAGTGTTGTTCTTGTGCTTAGAGCTCTTTCCTGTGTTGCCATGATTAGTGCCTCTGTTCTGTCTTTCAGTCTCGCTTTGTCGCTGAGGGGCTTCAGGCTTATGTAGAATAACACTGGGGATATGCCATGTTTTTGGAAAATCTTGCTCTAGTGCACAGTGTTGTTTGCCACGTCCCCACTGAGTTCTTGATGAAGGCTCTTACGATTCTGTTGATCTTGTACAGTTCTTAGGATTCCAGGATCCATGTGTGAGGCACTGAGTTATAGGCTTTCTTTCATTCACTCATGGCTGTCCCATTGAAAATGACTGCTCTATCTACCAGTAGCTGGCATTCCCCCCTCTGGTCTTTATGCCAATTTTCTTCTGGGCCCTGTTCATGTTTTAAACCATGCTTGTTCATCTTAACCCTTATGATGTCTAACAGGAGTTTTCACGTTGTGCTGAGGCAGGTTATTTTCCAGTAATTAGATGGTACCAGTCCCTTTTGGGGATCCTTGGGGAAGAAGAAACTGTCCAGCCTTCAGTTAGGTGTTCTAGATGTGTCTCATCCATTAGCAGCTGGTTCATTTGTACTGCCAGACGCTCATGGAGTACAGTTAACTTCTTTAGCCAGTAGGTGTGACTCATGTCAGGCTGTGGTGCTGTCCTGCCATTCATGCTTGAGACTCTTTCCTGGATGTCTGCTACTCTGATGGGTACTGAATCCTGTTCAGGTCTCCCATATGCTTTTCCAGCATTGCTTTTTTCCCTCCAGCCTTGGTGGGGTTGTTCACACCTTGTTCCCCTGCCACTACGAGCAGGAACTAGTGAAGAAAACTCTGATTTGTTCTCCTGGCTTCTGTTTCTTCAAATGGCTGTAAGTATTTGCTTGGCAGTTTCCAATGCCTCAGGATTAGGCAGCTTGCTGTATATCTTAGGCATCAGTTTCCTCATCAGGCATTTCTGCAGCTCCAATAGTTGGTTTCCCTCTGTGCCTAATCTCTTTCTCCATGGAGGGTACTGCTCTTGGTGGAGCCAAGCATTTCAGCGATTACTACCGTGATCTACCATGGTGTAGATCAGCTGGTTGGTTTCAGTGATGGTCGGGATGGTAGGGATTCACATCTCGTAGTAGGACATCACGTGTCTGGGTAATCGGCCACGGAGGGACCAGGTTTCCTTGCTAGCCACGATCAGCTGCTCTCACCTTCAATGCTTTCAGCTGGATATTGGCTTTCTCTATTTTACCATACTATTTAGTCATTTGACAAAATGTAAATTGCCAGTAAATGTAAATCAATTAACTTTGATGGTCCCTTGTCTTTCTGTCTTCATTGTCTTAGACACCATGGTGAAACACCTCCAGTCTGCAAATGCCTATCGGAGTTTTGCTGAGTTTCGCCAGGAATCCAGTACATTGCACTCTCTCCAGCATCCCTGCATTGTCTCGCTAGTGGGCATCAGCATTCATCCACTCTGCTTCGCCCTACAGTTAGCCCCCTTGGGTAGCCTCAACACAGTGTTGGAGGAAAAGCACAAAGGCAAAAGTACGCAGTGATCTGCACCTTCTGATTTGCCATTTGAAGTTGATTTTAAAACTTGCTCGATATTACTGAGATCTGAAAATATGTCTTGTCTTTCTAGGCTTCAAGTACATGCCGCTTGGACACATGCTAACCTTCAAAGTAGCCTATCAGATTGCAGCAGGACTGGGATACCTTCACAGAAAGAGCATCATCTTCTGTGACCTCAAATCTGATAACATTCTGGTGTGGTCTCTGGAGGTCTGCAAAATGTTGTGTTTTTTAAGCATTCTAATTTACATGGTGTATCAAAAAGATTCATCCAAGTAATTTTTTTCTTTTTATCTTTTTTTAAAAATCAGAATTAAGATGAGCTCTATAAATTCTATAAAGGCTCCTCTTGTTTCTGTGTTTCTGTGTATGTATTCATTTCTTTTAGTGTTATTTCAGCTATTACATTATATGTGTTGTGTAACAATGTCTAAGCTGACAGGCAGGAGAAAAAGAAAAAAGGAAGGATGGCGAAAACACAATAAAAGGGTAGCGTAAAAATGTAAAAGTACGACATATCACCAACTACTGCACCTGTAAGAACAAAGCCTAAAACATTCCACACCTGCAACACTAAAACATGAAAATGCGCCGACACACAAATCAACAACTTCTTGTGGTGCGTGTGCGTCTGTGTATGCGTCATGAAATTTACTTAATAATGAGGGTGGGAAGCCGCAGATCCACGAGATTGAATTAGCCAATCAGCCAGTTTCAACAAGCTGTAATTCTGCAAGTATTCACAGGTAACGATCGTAACACGGACTGTTAGAAAGAGGGATTAGTGAGCTTCACGTGGTTGTGGGTCGGTTTTATAACAACAGCTGGTGTAGGACAGCGCATGTCATGAGCCCGTCAACATTGTGTGTATTGTAAAGCTTTATATTCAGCCATGTATTTAAAAATTTTAACTGCAAGCTTCTATGTCCATTTCTTTAGAAATATGTAGCATTTTGAAATCAGACAATTCTTTTTGATACACCTGTTTTTGAAAGTGAAAGTTCTGAGCTAATTTATTTGCTCTCCCTTTATTAAAAATACTGTAAATAGAAAGCAAAACAGTAATTTCATGTTAAAAACCAAAACAAAAAGAGAAAGCCTGTTTCTGTCATTTCATTTGGCTTTTTAATTCACTGATAACTTCTTCCAGGTACAGGACACGGTCAATGTTAAACTGTCTGACTATGGGATCTCTCGACAATCCTTCCATGAGGGGGCTTTGGGAGTTGAAGGCACACCGGGCTACCAGGCTCCTGAGATCCGACCAGGCATCGTGTATGATGAGAAGGTATCTGCTTTTTTTTTTAACCCACATTAGAAAAGTTTGTAACATTTTTTGGACTTTTGTGTGGTTTTGTTTTATGTTTTGTTTTTTTAAACCATTTTTTTAAAATGATGAGATTAAACATATCATCTCTATATAAACGGATATGTTGATATCCTGAATTTCCACATATACGTGTATGACCTGTACACAGCACCTATACATAGCACTGACCAATCATGTTTGAGCAGGCTTTGCAAGTAGAAAAAAACCAAGTGGAGAGTTAACAAGGAAAACATTAGTTGAAATGCTTCAAATCCAAGTGGTAATCGTCTGACAACAGTATGAGAGGCGAGATTTCAACTTTTCTGAAAATAACCTAGGATTTTCAAATTTCAAATCAAAAAGACCTTGATTTTTAAAAAGTCAAACTGGAGACGGCCAAACTAAACTCCAGATTAGTTATACAGTCTGTATAACTTAATAAAACTTTTGAATTCTTTTTATAAGCATAAATTAACTAGACAGTGCAATTTCTAAATAAATTGTGGAAGGTTTGTTGCTATTGGTGGACTCTGTAACTTGGCCATGGTGCATTTAAAACGTTGGAGGTAACCTGTTAAAGTGAGATGGCTCAAAAACACATGAGCAACTATATTAATAGGCCACAAGTGTACTGTACCTGTGATACCAGCTACACTGTACCTAATAGAATTGCTTAAACTTGTGACCTCCAACATACAGGGGTGAGATAAGAGCATGCTCTCTATTCATATGAAATGGCACTTCATCACCCGAAAATGCCAAATATTTCAGGAATGGTAAGAAATGCTTAATTACTGCTGAATTGAAAACATTTGAGCTGGTTGTTACGAGGTAGGAACGGTCTATCTACGACAAACGTGGTGAGACTAACTAGCTACCGAAGAAGAGGAAAAATGTTAGAAGTTATTAACAGACAGGAGGTAAAATGTGTATTGAATGCATCACTACTTTTCCAAGTAAATATAATCTAAAGGTGTTATTGACATGAAACTGTAACCAGATCAGTAACAACATTTAGACAAGTCAGTGACTGGGAGATATAGTCTGGTCAGATCAAAATAAAATTGAACTCTTTGGATACCGTGATACACACCATGTTTGTAGGTCACAAGCTCTAATGTTTCATGTGTGTGAGCGAACACACAAACTGAGCGTCCCTTGGACCACTGTGAGCGACAGCAGACGTGTGCACTGTGGCCACGCCAGCATCCAATCCATCCAAGCTACATGTTTATTAAAATAATCAAATGACAGCATTTACATTTATGTTAGACGACTTTTAATTAACTGCTTTAGCCCACTGACAATGAAAATGTTAAAAAGTCTTGTTCGTGCCCTGTGCGGCATGTTAACACTATTGGAAGGAAAAATAACTTGAACTCCAATTTTGAAAACAAAACTTTATTTATTTATTTATTTTAACTCTCTGTTAGCAAAATACAGTATATAATGACCAATATTGGGCAAATAATTATATAATTACTGCTTCAAAAAAATTAACATAAAGTTCTAAATAAACTCTAAATGCATTTAGGACGTTTTTTACTGACTTTGTCTCTTCCACGATGTTATTTCTCTCGCCAACAACACAGGTTACAATTACATTAGCATGACCAATTAGGCGATGACGTCATTTAGCGACTTTTAGGACAGCCAATAGCGATTTTCCTTACTGAGGAGCTGGTAACACTGGGCGGAGAGTGTTTTTACCGTTTCTTCCTGCAGTAAATATAAACAACGACAGTATTCAGGAAAAAAACAAACACTGCAGATATTTTATCATAACTCTGGTTTCACGCAGCCGATCAACACAATTTAAAAACTGTTATATCTTATAGTTTTTAAATTGTGGTATAGTCCACACTTTTTCCATCAATTGTTAGCTGCGTATATACGAATGTGAATCGCATCATTGGCTGGACTGTGGGATAAGGTGGCATCGTTCTGATCCCATGCAGGAGCAGCCAGTCACTGACTGACTAACACTGTAAAACAGAATTGTTAAAGTTTTAATTTTAATGTCAATTCAGGTTGTAAGTGCCCTCCAGCAGTGAATCCTGGTTAAAGGTCAGGAACAGAAGCTCAGCATGTGCTAATATTGAACATCACATCCTGGAACCAACAGGAGTATTTAGACACACATGCTGGTACTGCAATGTAGTGCAAATGGATGATGGCCAGACTCCTAAGGATCATGTTTATGAGATGAGAACTGCCACGGAGAAAATATCCATAAATGGATCCCAGCTATGGCACAGTAAGAGGACCTGGGAAAATGTAGTCTAATAACAAAGAGGTTGGAAACAAACATCAAGCGCTGTGCTGGGACCATAACCACCAATCAGACTGCAGCTTGTTAAGGGAAAAAGACAGATACTCAGTTTTTACAAAGATATCAAAAATAATACGTCAAATGGTGAAATTAGGGAGAACAGAACAAGAAAGTCTGAATAACTTTCTAATAAAATCAAAAAATAAAATGAAAAGCTTTACCAGGCCTCATTTACTGATCCCTGAACTCTTCAGAAACCAGGCGAAAAAATGTGTAACCCTCCGTCTTTGCTCCGCACTCTTCCAAAGAGTGCTAATTCAGTCAAATATCTTTTCTGTGCTCTGCGGCATTAAATTCAGTATTTGATTATGTATATTTACCTCTGGCACAGAGGCTGTGCTTTTAGTAGCGTTTCAGTGTCACTGTGTCTGTAAACATGATGGCTCACGTCAACAATCCATCCAAATTTGGCTTATCAAGGTCTTTAACTTAGAAACTATAATTCTTAAAAGTGTGGTGTTTATTATCAACATATAAAAAGTACTTTATTTAGAATTAAAATATTGTGATATATTTAACCTTTGACCTCTCGTTCAAGGTCAGTAGATTAATTTGAAGGTCGAAGTGTTGCCTTATTGAGCTATTTTATATTGTTAAAACAAAAATCTAAAATTTTAAAAACTTATTAATGCTTATCCAATTAATTTCACTTTCAAATTCAAATTTTATTTGTCACACACACACAACCATACACAGTATGACATGGGGGTGAAATGCTGGTAGCTGTACAATGCCCGACCATTAAATGACAGAAGAAAAGTTTTACAATATTTACAATTTACAGGTTACTACAACATTTACAGATTTAAATTTACAGTAAAAAAATGTGCAAATAGCAGAAAGAGATCATAAATTATAGGAAGTGTGCATGAAGAAAAACCAGAGTGCGTGTGGTGATGTGACGTGTGTGGGAGAGTCCAGTCTTATAGTGACGTGTGTGGGAGAGTCCAGTCCTACACCTGGTTCAGGCCCCGAATAGCCTGGGGGAAGAAGCTCCTCCTCATTCTCTCTGTTTTTGCCTTAAGGGAGCGGAAGCGCTTCCCAGACCTCAACAGTGAGAAGAGTCCATTGTTGGGATGGGAGAGGTCCATCATAATCTTCCTAGCTTTGGACTTGCACCGCTTGGTGTAGATGGACAGCAGGTCAGGGAGCTCTGATTGAATGATGCGTTCGGCTGAGCGCACCACCCTTTGCAGATCTCGTCTGTCCTGCTTGGTGCTGTTCCCAAACCAGGTGCAGATGTTTGCCGTCAGGACGCTCTCGATGGTGCAGGAGTAGAAGTTCTTGAGCACCTCAGTGGCAGATGGAAGTCTCTAAGTCTTCTGAGGAAGAAGAAAGAAATTCTAGGATTTATCCTAGAATTATAAATTCTAGGATAAATTCTGTCATACCGCCTTTATTTAAAAGCACTTTAAGATAAAAAAAAAAATAAATAAAAGTAGAGAATTAGAAGAAATAGAAATAAAATTTAAAAAACCAATAAATTAAATTATGTCAATTTCTTCTTCCAAGAATAAATTCTTGGAACAATTCAGCAAGCAGAACAACAGGCCACGACTCCAGGTCTTCATCAGACCAACGCCTGCTGGTCTGCTTGCTGAATTGCTCTAAGAATAAAATTCTTACATGATTTTAATTCAAATAGAGCATATGCAAATTCATAAATGGGCTGTGGTCATGAGTTATTATCCAAGAAATGAACATTCAGAGACTGACTGGGTAGCTTTCATCTAAATGGTTGGTTTTACTTTCATAACTTCTTTTCACTCCAAATGAAATTTAAAGTTTTATTTACAAATTCATCAGGAGGTCTTAATAACCTCCTCAGATGCAACTCTGACACTTGACCCTTATCAACTGACCTTAATGCTCCTTTTTTGGGAACAACTCTTAAAGGTGGACATGTTCTCCTATGGCATGGTGATGTATGAGCTCCTGTCTGGGCGGAGGCCAGCGCTGGGACACCACCAGCTTGAGATAGCAAAGAAGCTCTCAAAAGGTATTCGGCCAGTGCTGGGTAGTCCACAAGAGGTTCAGTTCTGCTGCCTGCACAACCTGATGACTGAATGCTGGGACACTAAACCTGAGAAGGTGAGCTGTTTTTGGCTGACACAATGAGCAAATTTTTGTTGTGTGATGTAAGGAAAGTGTACTACACTTTATTACTTGTGTCAAAGTAGGTTGAGCTAGAGACTTATAACTTCACATTTGGAAGAAATTCTAAGAATTAGTCTAAAGAGGGGTTCGATTCCAACAATTGGTTCTCCTTTTACTGCTAAATTCTGAAATAAAATCAGGTCGTGTCTCTCGGGAACATGTAGAAAACAAGATGTTTTTCCTATACTGCCCAGTTCTCAATGTTAACCTGCTGCGGTTTAATCTTAAGATAAGAACAACTGCTCCAACTCACCCAGTCCAAGTGCAGGAAAGTTAAAAAGCCAAAAAGGACTGAACAAGCATGGTCTAAGATTTCTAGATCATGGTCATAGTGGCAAGTGTAACAATAATGCTAAAATATTTCCTAACTGAAAATTAAATATTTCCATGGATATATGGACAGCATAGAATGCAAATGATAAAACAATCAGTCCCAATAAATGCTTTGACTATAATGTCAAAATATGCATTATAGAGCGACTCCATTATGTGAGTGTGAATAGTTTTCTCTGTGTATGAGTTAGCCCTGCGACAGACTGTCCAGGGTGTGCCCTGCCTCTTGGCCTAAGACAGCTGGGATAGGCTCCAGCTGCTCCCCATGACCCGGAAAAGGATAAGTGGAGATGGATGGATGAATAATGAGCACCACAAATGCATATATATCTTCAACATTTCTTTTTTCAATCACAACTGCCGATGTACGTGTAGTCACAGCCATATTTTAAGGATAAAAAACATAAAACATAACATTTTTTGCAAATTTTAATGAAAGTCATTGTTCTGTGAATGACTTTGAGCTGAACTGCCTGTCTCTGCATTTGTGCTGCAGAGGCCAGTGGCAATGCATTGTGTGAGGCAGATGAAGGAGCCTAGCTTCGCCTGCCTCAGGTATGTATTGCCCTGTGACGTCAACTCTCAGCTCTTCCTGTCCCAGCTCCAAGGATATAGTGCTGTGTTCTGGAATGACGATAAGGAGGACAGGTTTGTGTGACCATTTCTCTTCGTACTGTGATTTATTTGCCTCTTATACACAATAATGAGCCCCACAATACACCTACCTCCATGTTTTAGTTGTCTTCTGTAGTTCAGGTCTTTTAGTGTTGTTGAGCTGGTTTTGCATTCCTGTTTATTTAGGATTGACTTGATTATTTACTTGATTTGATCCCTGCAAAAGTTTTTTCTGTCTCTCTGATGGGGTTTATTTGGTTTTCTCCCCAATGACAGTCTTTTTCACTTACATCAGCATTTCTTTGGACATCATTTTGCAAGTGAACTACCAACTGGAAGTTCAACACTTCGACTCAATTCTGCAGTCTGTCATGAAATAACAGCTGAAAAAGCCTCATCAAACCATGAAATGGATTATTAGCCTATTGTCCAGTTACTTTAGAGCCTCTACACATGAAGTTAAATGTTTTACTTAAAAATAAAGCTGAAAATCTGCGCGCCAATTACACATTTCTGGTTTGATTTAAAATTTACTGTTGTTGTGTACAAAGAACCCTTTTATTGTCCAAAAATGTACGGCGCTAACTACATTTAACACAACATGTTTAACACAGCTGACTGAAAAAGCTCCCAGATCCATGACATAATGGCGACAATGGCTCTAGCTGTTTGTGGCAGCAGGACTGCAGGTTGATGTGTGTTTAAAAGCTGCTTCCTTGCTTTTAAACAAATACTGTTAATTGCTGCTGACTCCTTCACACTTTTCCCTCTTTTAACTCCTTTTCTGTGTCAAGACCATGTTACCTGCCCAACTCTTCCAGTGCCATTTAACTCTCATATTCTTTTCTTACTTTTGTTTGGCCACTCACACTAACTGGTTAACCAGCTCCTGAGGAAAGAGTGTACCTGGTTGCAAGCTGCCAATAAACTGCAGATCCCCTAATGCTTCAGCATACCAAGACAATTTGATCTTCATGGAACAGTTTGAGGATGGCCCCTTCCTGTTCCAACGTGATCGCAAAGTAGTACATCAAAGTAAGGTTCATATAGACATGGATGACCGAATTTGGTGTGGAACAACTTGACTGGCCTGCACAGAGTCCTGATCGCAGAGTCTGCAAGCCAAGCCTTCTTATCCAGCATCAGTGTCACAAATGGATGAATGGTCAAACATTCCCATAAACACACTCCTAAACCTTTTGGAAAGCCTTGCCAGAAGAGCTGACGCTGTTATCGCCGCACATGGTTGGGGGACATCATATTAAACCTCATACATTAGGAATGGTTCATGTGCATGTGAATGCAGACGAGCAAATACTTCTGGCAGCATAGTGTATGTGCAAGTGGTCAGAAGAAACGTCCCAGGGAACAGTGCAAACACACCAGCAGCACTGGTTGCACCTTGTATAGGCAACTTTTTGTTTAAGATATATTAATGCTAAGATTGTGAAATTGCTTATTGGTGAGAAATTAAAAATATATACAATATAATATATTTAAACTGTAATAAACTAAAATTCTATTTATAAAACATTAATAAACAATAGTAAAAAACATTTTTGTAATGCTTCATGCCAGTTTCTCAAGTTATCCATCACACATGTACTAAACGTGCCTCTACTCATCACTGTATACAAACATTACTATACACAATATTGCTTATTTTGTTTTAACTTCCAACTCAGTGGTTCTAAATGTTTTCAGCTGTGTATTGTGCAGGAACTACAGTGTGGTGAATGTTAACAAGGGTCAGGTGGAGGTGAAGAGGATGGCCTGTCCAGGTAGCAGGATTAGCTGTCACATGAAGATGGGGAACACTCTGTGGATGGCAACTGAGGTACACATCCTGAAATTCAACGTGATACAGCTGCTTTTTAAATGCAGACATTTGGTGACTCATTTATTTACTGATAACTTTTTCGTCTATGAACAGCAGTCAAACAATCATGCAATGTTATTTTTCACTGGGAAGCTTACTTTTACATCTGGGTAGCTTCAGAATTTACCTGCTTTTGTCATTTTTTTAATGTGAAAAGAGGATTTCATGAAAACCCTTTTGGGGACACGAGGACAGTGAGACTGCTACAGTCTTTTATTGAGTGTCAAACCAGTGTTGGAGGGAAAGTATTAGTTTCCCAGGGTAGGAGAACAATATCAAATCCTACATTGGCTGCCCTCCACTGTTGCCACAGCTCGGGGACAACGTAGTTGTCTCTAAATCCAAAAATAAAAAAACTCATTCTTTCATGTTTCTGTGACAGGAACAGGAGGTGTTCATCTACAGTCTGAAGGACATGTGTCCACTCAGTCAACCCCAGAAGCAGTTCTCCTGTCCCGCCATCATCACTTGTTTGTTTCCTGTTTCAGCGAGGGAGCAGGTCAGGTCATATATCAGCATATGTTTAAGCAAACACGTTTTACTCACACCTGTGTTATTGTGTCACTCAGTACTGTGGGTTTACATACGGGCTTCAGTCTGAAACGTCTTAAAATGAATGTTGCTGATATGTCAGCAGCTCGTATCTAGAGCATTTGTGTCACATGCACTTGACAGCAAAGGAAACAAGTGTTCCACATATTTGGCTTTACATGGTGTCAACACATTGGTGCGTTTTGACAGAGCATCAGTAGAAGACAAAATGAGACTTGAAGCCTAAGCAACCGTGAGCTTGTAATACAAGAGCTTCACGTACTGACCTATTGTTACCTCAAGTGCGTTTGACAAGGATGGCTTAATAACGGTAGAAATGTTTTTTTAAACAATATTTTTATTGTTTTTGCAACAGCATACAAAGATTGGTTTTCAGAGTAATATGCAAAATGCTTTTTATATGTGGTGCTGCATTTTTTTGTTTGTCTGGAATTTATTTACCATTCAGTTGTTGCTCCGTCATTAAAAAATAGTTCATTGAGTCATTGAGTTTTATTTGTATAGTGCCACATGACAACAACTGCAACCTCAAGGTCCTTTATATTGTCGGGTAAAGATCCTAAAATAGCAGAGAAAAAACCACAACAATCAGATGAGCCACTGTAAACAAGGACTTGGTGACACTGGGAAGGAAAAGCCCCTTTTTAACAGGAAGAAACCTCTGGCAGAACCCGACTCAGGGAGAGGCAGTCTGATGAGACTATGGGGTAAATGTCATGGGGATGAGGGGAAAGAGAAGAGAACAGAGGTAAACAAGACAAAAGACACATGTGACAGAGAGCCAGTGTTTCTAGGAACGCCCCAACAGTCTATGGCTATTGCAGCACAACTAACAGACAGGGCTGGATCAGGTGACCCTGAACAAACTACATGCTTTATAGTAGATGGGGTGTCTGTCTCCCACAGAAGGAGGGGCTGTAGGATGAAGGCTCTGTCTACCATCCAACTTTTAGAAACCCTAGGAACCATAAGTGAGCGATCCGTTTGAGAGTGAAGAGGTCTATCAGAACAATGTGGTACTATTAGATCTTTAAGATATGATGGGACCTGATTACTCAAGACACTGTATGTAAGCAGAAAGATATTAAATTCAGTTCTGGATTTAACACGTGGCCAGTAAAGAGTGAAAAGCCAGTGAATAAGGAAGATACACAGTAATCCCTATCAGTGCTATTGCTGCAGCAACTCAAGGCTTTTTAAGGAACATGACAACAGTAAATCACAGTAGTCCAGCCTCGAAGTAGTAAATGGATGAACTTACTGTGCAGTAAAATCTTGTGGTCAGCGGTATTGAATGCTGCACTTACATTCTAACAGTCAAGCACAGAAATGAGTCTACTGGGAGAGGCCATGAAAAGGTCATCAATAACATTTGCTAGTGCTGTACTGCGATGACCTGAGAGGTAACAGAAATAAACAGTTTCTCTGCATAAGTTCAGTTAGATGTTTTAAAATGACTTTTGGCAAAGTTGGGTATTGATCAATACAGAACATTTCCTGCACGACCACCTCCAGTCTGCATACTTTTATATAGTTTTCATATTTTAACTAGCCAACACATTTTTTCTAATTAATGATCCCAATTTACACACAAATTACAGATCCTGGTTAATTTTGATGGTGAGAAAGACCAGGGGAAATTTCAGGCTTTAATAATCTTTGAGATATTCAAAATAAAGGACTGAAAGTGGGATAATGTAACATTTTTACAAAATATATATCTTGAAAACATTTTGATATCATGTACATCGCTTGCTGTATATGTTCAAATTTTCTATCATAAATTTGTTTATGCAAATCTGAGACAATCCAGCAGATTGAATATCCCTAAAAGCTTGTGTTGTGTAGCTCTTTAAAGATAGATATTGAGATTGAAGGACTAGTTAATGATAGGACTTCTTTAAGCATTAGAGTAGGAATGGGGTCTAGTAGAGACATTTATGGTGTAGAGGAAGTAAATACTGAACTCAGACAGACTGATAGGAGAGAGAGTCTAAATACATCTCAGCAATTCTCTTTCAAACCTCACTTGGTATCTCCCTAAGGGATGCGCCCTCTGTGGTGGTAGTGTAAAGCTGCACTACCACCACCTCTGTTCCAGACAGACAAATCACTGCAAGGACACATTTTCAGTTTCTTCATCGTGAAGATCATTCGTGAACACTAATGATGCCGTGATGTAATCCATGTTTTTCTGGTTTCAGGAATAACTGTTGCACTTAATATTCATAATAATTATAATAATATATAGAAGAGTTGACTGAGTAACCACATTAATTTGACTGAGGTCTATGTGGGCACCCTGCTTTCAGCCTACCATGCTGAGCAGTTTGAGGACATGAGCCAACTGCTGGATACGGAAACTCCCAGTCTTACGGTTTGGGAGGAGATAATGTTGTTACAGAGCTTATTCTTCAGGTCTCTAGGGGGCACTGCAGGGCTGTGACCATCCAGTTTCAGTGCTTAAGGGTGTAATTTAGACTGGCACTCACCCTGAAGCTTTTCACCAAGTATATTGAAGCAATGGAAACCTCTTGGCAGTGGCGAGGCTCAGAATGTTTGCACGTTTTGCATATTTAAACAAACCACTATGCGCTGCAACAGGAACAAAGACCAGACCATAATTATTCTATCACCCTTTTCACACATGCAAATGTCCAATCCAGTCAGATCGCACCAAAACGGTCATTAGTCTGGCAGCTCTTATGTGAGAATAGCACATGGAAAAGTCTGGCATATCCCCAATGTTCGAGTAGATGTGAGCTGTAGATGTAGGTGTGCTTCCTAATGCACAGTCAACAACAAACAAAAACAAAACATTGTATTTTCAGTTGTGAAAACGCATCTGAAACCATAGTTCAGTTTCAAAAAGGGCTGATTATTGGTAGACCTTTTGAATCAAGAAATCACCTGAATAGAACCTCTCTGACAAACTCAAGTAGTTGAAAGGGTTACAAAGCTTTTTCTAGGACTTTGGAACTCCAATAAACCGTAGCCCCATAATCCAGATCCATCATTCAAAGAAGAACAATATTTCTTCACTCTCTGTGTTTATCCACTACTTTGCATTTAATCATCAGTCAGCATCGATCTCTGCCTCTCTTTGGGAGTGTCTCTTGTTCTGTTTCCCTTCCCTCACCCTTATCCACTCATGACAGAAGGTTGCTCCTTCCGGAGTATGGTTCTGCCAGAGGTGTTTTTTCCCTGTTAGAAGGGAGTTTCTTTCTTGCTGTTGTCACCAAGGGTTGCCTCATAGGTCATCAATTGTTGGGGTTTCGTGTCTATTATTGTATAGTCTTTACCATCTTATATGAAGTACCTCGAGGTGACAGTTGTTGTGATTTGGTTCTATATAAAAAAATAATTGAATAGTCTGTGGACTGATGGGACAAAAAAAACCTTGTGGAAGGATTTCGTCCCATTACTATTTTATAAATGATGAAGCTCCACTGCTTCAGGACCTGGACGGCTTGCTGTCATTGATGGACACGTGGATTCTGCTCTCTACCATAAAATCCTCAAGTGTAACGTCAAGCCATGTGCTTGTGCTCTGAAGGTAAAGCACTTTTGGGTTATGCACCAGGACAAAGATATGAAACAAGCAAGTCCCAAACATAACATAAGCAAAGCCCCCTGTAATTGCTCAAAAAAAGGCGCCACTAGTCAGTTACTGGTTCTCTGAACCACTGTTTGGAACTTAAGTAGAAACAACAATTGAGATTCCTTCCCCAATCTGAAGATGAAAAAAAGCAATACTTAATTAAAAAAGCAAACCCAGAACATACAGATACCAAACTAGAGGGATACACGTCTGCCCTGCCCTGTCCACAATGCCTCTCACTGAAGGTAACTCTGGATTGGACTCCAGTCCTTCTCCATAAGACTGGTTTCAAAATCCAAACTGTGGGTTGACATGAGCCTGACTATAGAGAGGACCATCCTGGTCTCTACATCACCCAATCCATAAGCCACCAACCCCTATAGCACCTGATGCAGGTGGTAGACCAACAAGTGAGCAGGCTTATGTTCTTGTGCTGTGCTGAGCCGGCTCCATGGTCTAAGGTGGAGTTGTCAGGCATTCTCCCTCAAGTCCTGCAGGGTTTGGAGTTAGTTACATATTTTTTTAAACCTGGTGCTTTTCTGACACAGCCCTCTTAAGGATTCGTCTCTTATCCTGTTTTAAACAACTGACCTTTCATACATTAAATCACATGTGTGAACCACTACACTATATAACCACCTCGCTTTTCGCCCAACAACAAACCTCTCCACCATGGTAAGGTGGAGGGGTTTGTAAGTGAGGTAAGGTGGTTTACAAAGAGAGTGAAGAGTGAAACGAGTATGTAAATGTAAAAAGTTTTTTCTCCTCCTATTAAGAGCCTGGACAAAGTGTTTGCAGGGATGTCGGACGGTCTGTTGGCGGTGTATAACGTAGTGGAGGACCTTCCACTAGAAGGAGAAACATACATCTGCTCCCACACCCTGAATAAGACAGTGTTTGGTCTGAAGGATTCAGATCCCAGGCAGAGACCTTATCCCATCAGGACCATGGCTCTCGTTGGCAGTGGATCCCAGGTGAACAGACAGTACTAACCATGACAATGAAGTTATGTTTGAGTCATGTAATGGCTACACATGAACTCATCAGCTGAACCATGTCTATACATTTATGTTTATCAGTTATGGTTCTCCAATGGCCCGGGCCTGCTAGTTATAGACTGTCTGAGTCTTCAGGCAGTTTATAGGCTGGAGACCTATAGCCCACCATCTTCCGTCATATCTTTGGAAACCAGCTTTAGTCTATGGGGAGAAGAAGCAGTCTGGACTTTGGATGACTACACGAACACCCTCTTGCTCTACCATGCTGCCTCCTACGAGCTCTGTGCCAAGTACTGGTAAGTGAGGTTTTGGTATCAAGGCCTGTAGGGTGTACTTTTGTGGACCTGTGTCTACAAACATGCGTCTGTGACAGATAAGGATCTTGCAGCGTAGAGAACTTGTACAATTATACTCTTACTAGCTGTTGTTTTTATATTCAAACAGCAGCTAATAATTTTATTTGTATTATGTTTGTATAGTCAGTTTTTGTGTGACTGACTGTACATACAATATACCTATAGTCATGCAAGTGTCTGTCCCATTGTGGAATGGGAACAAAGCTCAGTCTGGACAATCTCCTCAAACTCACAGGTTTGGTCGGTGTGCAATTAACCAGAACTGTGGAATTTCTAGCTATCAGTGGAGTCTTGCTTCAGATTAATAATAAAAATAATGGATTGCATTTATATAGCGCTTTTCGGGACCCCTCAAAGCACTTTACACTTCCACTATTCATTCACTCTCACATTCACACACTGGTGCTACAGTTGTAGCCACAGCTGCCCTATCGGCCCCTCTGACCACCACCAGTAGGCGGTAGGTGAAGAGTCTTGACCACGGACACAATAACGAGAGTGTCCGAGCCGGGGCTCGAACCAGCAACCTTCCTATTACAAGACGAACGGCCAACTCTTGAGCCACGATCGCTCCATATATCAATGTGGATATTTCTGCTTTATGTAGCATTTTGAAAAACTATCTTCACAGTATAGCTTATGTATCAGAGTGGATTCCCAAACAGCATCCTGCTTAATTTGATTGATCTCCCAAGACAGATTTCTCTGATATCATTGGTATTGGTTCAGTATTAACTCGTTAGATAGCTATCCTTTGGTGATGGAGATGCTTCTTGATTTTCCAGAAATGATCTTCATCCTGGTCTGTGTGATATTTGATGGTGTTGTCGTCAGTGTTATGTCATCCATAAAGCCCTGATTAGTGTTAACTGGACACTCCAGACCTGAGCTGCTTGTCACCACCCAGTTTGAACCTCTGATGATCGCCTCCATTGCCACGATGAAAGCAAATGGGGGTGTAATTCGTGATACTATTTTCAAGGTTCTGTCACGTGGTAGTGAAATCAATATCTCCCAGTGAAAAGTGGATTAGCCTAAGGACTCTGTTATTTGCTGGTGGTGGTGGCATTCAGAATCATTGTCATTGTAGTAATGAAACATTGAGCATATGATTATCAACAGTTCCACCTCCAGCAGCCTATAGCATGGCGTACACACCCTTGGCATGTTATCAGAATGCTGTGCATGCCTTGCAGACTGTGGGAAGGTGTTGGGGGGCATGAATCGGCCAGGTGTTTCATCAGTAACTTTCACATTTGGTCTATATTTAATTAATCCTTCCATGTTGACCAGGCAGTTGCAGCTCTAGGTTAGTCTCATCTGTGCAAAGTACATTGTTTGAGTATGTATTCCTGTGCAGGGTTCTTGTGATTGGCTTCTTTCAGACTATAATTCCCAGCTTGGTTAAGTCATAGTGTCTTTGCAGTTCTTCTTGGGTCTTTAGACACATCTCTCACTAGTTTTCGTTCCAGAGTCTTTGAAATCTTTTGCTTTCTCTCAGCCAGGCTTGTTCTGCACAGTTTAAATATCTCTGTGTAGACGTTGTATTTCTTCATGATACTCCTCACTCTTGTGCTTGATACCAAGAAATGTTATGATATCGTGTCTGTGTGTGCGTGTCTGTGTGTGTGTGTGTGTCTGTGTGTGTGTGTGTGTGTGTGTGTGTCTGTGTGTGCGTGTGTGTGTGTGTGTGTGTGTGTGTGTCTGTGTGTGTGTGTGAGTGAAATGTAAATGGATGCATTCTGTTTTTGCCATGTTGCTTTCTTAAGTCACAGCTCAAACCCTCCTTGAGTGGCTGTCTTTTAAAATCATGTCATGCTTTCAGCTGCGGGGACAGCAGTCCTCTACGGAGTGTCTTTACTGTGCAGCGTCCCGCGGGGCTAACACCAATGGCAGTGACCGATCTCAAATCCACACACCAGAAAGAGAAGCCAGAGTGGTCCAATGAAAAAGTGACATTGATCTTCAATGAGCAGGCAGGTACTCAGATGATCCAGCACCAGGATTCACTCACAGACTACTGTTCTATATCATCTGCTTGCTCCTTGGAGCCAGTAGAGTTAGACTCTTCAAGCAGCATAGACCACAGCTCGTTTGGCAGCTGCAGTGGTGTCTTACAGCCTGCAGACCTGGAGGAGATAGAGAGGAACCACAAACGCCAGTCATCCTCCAAATCTTATGGTCTGGAATCTGCAGAAACTATGAACCCTACCGCACCTCATCTTCAAGCTTTCTCAGTGCTGCAAGTCAATGGAACTCTATGGATCCCCAGGTAAGAACAAATGCATACAAATAGAGCAAAAAAACAAAACAAAAACAAAACAAAAACAAACTCGGAGATGCATGTAAATATAAAAATAATAAAATTTTGATTGGATAAATAAATTAAACTGAAATTGAACATTTTAAAACCTATTTACATAATTTAAACAATTATGAAATTTCATGCAATTATATGCTAGTTGTTATACATTGAATACATTGTACATGCAGTGTATATGAAAGTATAAAACATTGTTGTATAGAAGTGGCACATCCATCCATCCATCCATCTTCTTCCGCTTATCCGGGGCCGGGTCGCGGGGGCAGCAGCCTAAGCAGAGAAGCCCAGACCTCCCTCTCCCCAGCCACCTCC